AGTTCCGGGCCCATTCGAGGTGGGTGGCATTGGGGGCCAGGACCAAGGGGCTCTTCGGGACTCCAGCCCCTGCTGGGGCGGGGCCTGGGGCTGCACAGAAGTCCTGCCAGGAGAGAGCAGTGTGAGAGGGCAGCGGGCCACGGTGGCCACGGCAGCCACGGGAGCCACGGGCTGACACGTGGGTGCTGGCAAACCCATCATCATGCTCGCATCACCATCGGGGCTTGCTAATGCCGTGGCCTTCCGGGCGTCATTTCATTTACCCCTCGCAGCAGCCCCACCAGGTGGGCACTGATCTGTCTCCAGGGAGGGTGGGAGGGAGGCCCCGGAGGTCAGGGAACCCACCCGGGGCCTCAGGCCTGGCCTCTGACAGTCATACTGACCCCACCCCTCGGCCCCCCAGCCCCACCGGCTGTGCTGGAAGGAAGGAGACAGATGGACGGCCTGGGGAAGGACAGGGAGTTAAATGGACACAGCACCTGGACGGGCGGCCTCCTCTGGTCGGACGGGGTGTGTGGGGGAGAGAGCAGAGGCCCCCTACCTGGTGCTGGATGTAGGCGTGGATTCGCTCCAGCATCCCCTCACAGGTGTACTCGTAGGGCAGGTAAGGGTCTACCTGTGGGAGAGACAGGCAGACAGGGGGGCAGGAGACCTGGTGCCAAGGGCCGGCCATGCTCAGCACTGGGAGCGGAGACCTGGGCCCTCTGCTCGGATTCCCTGCTCCTCGGTGCACCCCCCGGGCTCCCCGGGGCTCAGGACCTAGGAGACCCAGGCCAGGACCTCCCTCCAGCCTCACTGAGCTTCCCCCTTCCAGTCATGTCAACGCTCCGCCCTGATGCCTCTTCCCAAGGCCAACCCAGCCCATCCACCCTCCCCTCAGGCGACACCGCCTCCAGGAAGCCACCCGAGCTCCACCCCACCTGGGACAGGCCCAGGCCCCCTGTCCTTCGTGACCCCCAGGCTCCCCCGGCGCCTGGGTCCTCGTTTCTTTTCTTTTCTTTCTTTTTTGGTTTGTTACTCCTCACCCACGGATGTTTTTCCATTGATTTTTAGAGAAGAGATTCCCCCCCACATGCTCTGCCTGCTCCCGGCAAACCCGTGCCACGTGGTGACGCGAAGGCCCCTGCCAGCCGAGTCCCACCTGCCGGGACCTCCCGCCAGAGGCGGCAACAGCCTGGGAGGCTCACCCCATGGGGTGTCATTTCCTGCCGGGAATATCGGCTGCGACAGTGAGAGGGGAGGCAGCAGGAGGCAGGTGCCCGCACGACCTCCCGTCCCCTCACCTTGAACGGCCTCATCTGGACGGACAGGTGCCAACGGGCAAACCCACTGAGGCCGAGAGGTGACTGAGGGGGCCCCCGGAGCTGGGGGCCAGCCAGGCTGGGGCCTCAGGTCTCCCTCACCTGTGCCCCTCACCCTCACACACGCAGGTGAGGGGGGCTCCGCGGTCACCCCGCCGACCCCGGCCTGGGAGTCGGAATTCACCAGGAGGGCATCGCTTCCCAATGACAGTGAAGGCCGGCCCGCACTGGCGGTGCTGATGGGCCTGAGGCTCACCTGGGTCCTCATGATGGCCTTGAGGGCGGCCTCGACCTCCTCCGAGTTGTTGTAGTCCACGGTCCACACGTGGGGCCTGCCGATGAAGCTCTCGGCGTACGGGTGCTGCGAGAACACCTGGCGGGCAGGGGCAGGCGGGCGTGCG